AAGGAAGGAAGGAAGGAAGGAAGGAAAGAAGGGGAGTGAGGGAGGGAGGAAGGGAGGAAGGAAGGAAGGAAGGAAGAAAGGAAGGAAGGAAGGAAGGAAGGAAGGAAGGAAGGGAGGAAGGAAGGAAGGAAGGGGAGTTTTAAAAAAAATCAATGACAAGCCTTAAACTGAAATGACTGCAGAATCTATCAGAAATGTTAAGTTCCCCCAGACATTCTAAAGCTCTTCCTTTCTACAAACTGGTGAGCCATTAGGTAACACACACACCCAGCCCTCTCCAGCCCCCACCTTGCCCTTCTGTGGCTGAAGGTAGTTTCCATCCTTCAAAGTTGAAGGAGGGAGGAGCTGGAAGAAGAAAAAAAATAAAGCCCAGGGTTAACAAGAACCAGAAAGAAACAGAAGCAAATGATTAAGACAAAGAGTAGGAGAGAGAGAAGGGCTGGGGGCTCCCCACCCAAACAGTCCCATGCTTTTTCTCCCAATTCCTGCCCAGGTAACTAGGCCCCGACATAAAACACTGGCTCCCACACAGAACTAATGAAGATAGATCAACCAACCAGCCAACCAACCAGGGGTGCAAACGCTGTTGGACACCCCCAGCAGATTTGTAATTTCTCCATCTGCAGTATCCCCACTCTTGCTCACCCACCAGCTGTGAGAGGGGCAGGTTAGACTATGTTAGAATCCCACAACTGCAGAAGTTCCAGCTCATTAAAGACCCTGAGTGACTGAAACCCAGACACCCCCCAGAGAGAGGCCCTCAAGGCCACTCTTCCCTGATTGGCTCTAGAGGCCTTTGGCCCAGCCTATTTCAGAAGCCTACCCCAGTTAGAGGTGATCAGAGGACTGGGACTCTCAGAGGGGTGGAAGGGTGCCCCGGGGGCAGGCAGAACCAGAGCAGCCAGGACAGACAGGACACAGATGTCCTTTGGCTTCCCTGGGTTCTCTAAAGGCATCCTTTTCATGATCATCCAAAGTAAAGCCTCAAAGGGCACAGCTGAAAGCACCAGGAGAGGACACACACACTCGTACCTACGTTCCAAGCTTCTGCCGTGAGGAGCCATGAGTCACGCACTGTGTTCATTTGGTCCTCAGTGCCCCAGTGTTGCCCCAAGCCTGCACTGCTTCAAAGCCAGGGTCTTCGTGACCCCAGAAATTGTCTCCTATCATGTAAACTCATGTCCCGTTACAGAGCACAGTGGCCACCGGTGCAGAACACACGAAGTGTTGTTCTTTGACACGTTGCACATATGCTTACTTAAGGCATAGGTTCATGGGATGCAACTTCATCTCTACTTTCCTCTAAGGATTAAGGAAAGAAGAAAAGGAGGGATAGGGAAAGGGAGGAAGGGTTAATGCATACATATAAATAAATCCAAGGAAATATTTTTGATAGAAACTACCCAAATAGGGACTTCATCTAGAGCTCTGTTTTATAGTGTATGGAAAATTCTTGACTTTGATCCCTAGCACCTCAAAATAAAAAAGAGAGGAAGGAAAGAGGAAAGGAAAGTGGGAAGAAAGGAAGGAAGGAAAGAAGGAAGGAGGGAGGGAGGGAAGGAAGGAAGAGAGGGAGGGAAGGAGAGAGGGAAGGGAAGAAGGGGAGGGAAGGAGGAATCTGTTGATTACAGTTGGCTGGTCATTTTTTGCCTGAAACATCAATGGCAGATCTAGTCAGTAGAGAAGCTGGAGATTGGATCAACTGACTGACCCCTGTGGCAGCAACAGAGAGGCAAAGGAGAAGAACCATGTCTTCCTAAACCTCTTTTCCAGCATGAGCCCAAACCAAGACAGCAATGACCTGCATGGAAATCTCTCAGTGAAATCTCACTTAAGGTAACTGACCTTGAGTGACTTCACCAAGATAATCTCCAGGGGTATAAAGCATGAACCAGGGGGAAAAAAAACAAGTTTATGGGCGTCCATGGAGGCCTCTCCAGCTCCCAGAGTACCAGGCGGATGGGCTTTCTCTGTGCTATTTTGAGTGGATAGGCACTGACCTCTGGATGGAGCTAGAATGTTCTCCACCAGTGTCCTCTGGAAAACTAGGGAGAGCTAGCCAGTCACTGAGTCTCCAAGATGGTTGGGGCGGGGGGCAGTGAATTCAGTTGGGCCACAAGCTAGAGAATGTGTGGTACATTGCTCTCCAGAAAAGGGATAAAACTGAGAAGTCCAGACTTAGTAATGCTGGTGCTTTAGTAACTGCTGGTGACAATTAATTGGCTGGAGGGGGGAGGAGGATGGAGGGGGAAAGGGAGAAAGGCCCGTGCACATCACACACCAGACACCAAACAACACCTCTGCTCCCATGGACTTTTATACACAACAGGCATGCTGAGCCACGGGAAGAAGGTGGCAAAGCTACTAGCCAGCACATGTGCTCCTGGCATGGATGAGGTCTCTAAGTTCCCTTTCAAGGAGAAAGCTTTTTACTTTGGCTCTGTTGTTTTGCCAAATTGAGGACCGGTAGGAGGGAGCCGCAGGCACGTGACCACTTCCCTACAGTGGACATGCTGTGTGGGGAGTGGACTATCATGGTGAGCTCTTTCCAAGGGCCTAGCACACAGCACCAGAGACACCCGAACCACGAGGGGGAAACACTTCCTGCTTCCTTGCCCTTGGAGACTTTTCCCATTCACTGTGATCTGTGGCTTGTTCCAAGTCCAAAGGGATATCGATAAGCACCATGAATGAAGCCCTGGGTACCCTGAAAGTCACTCGAGAAAATTGGAGTGGGAATAAGGGCTGCCCACAATCCAGTCAAGTCCTGAACTATTCCGACAGGGGACAACTGGAAGCCATTCGTTGCACGGGAGGCTCTCAACTCCAAGCTGAGACTCATTAGCACGGAGGGTGGAAGAAGAACCACAGTGCAGGTGCGGCGTGTGGCTGGGCCGGGCACAGACACTGGGTTAAACATACTCGGGGAGTCGGCAGCCACCTCCTCCTGAGCCTCAGAGTTGCTCCCAGGGGAGGCTTTACATCTGCTGCTCGCTAGCTCCTTGGACCTCAGCTGGGAGGAGAGGGTCCCAGTGGCCTGCAGTGAAGATCTGACAGTGTGGGTGGGGTGGGGGTGGGTAGAAGCCTGTTTGAGAAAGTCCCATCCTTTTCTAGAGGAGTTCACAGAGTGCTTGGAAAACCAGCATCACCAGTATTAAAAAAAAAAAAAAAGTATGTCTGGCCATTTGCAATGCAAGCTTCAGGCGGTACATCTTCTTCCGGGGTAGGCTGAGCTTTCTTAGGGGTGGTAATGTCTGGGCTTAGATCCTGGAGGCACAGCTCGACTCCCATAGATGATTCGATTCTTTATTTCCTGTATGGATAATCTTAGGGAGGCCTAGCTCAGCCCGGGCAAACAAAGACTCCAAGGTGAACACTTTGAGATTGCGCCCCTCAGCGCCAACATCAGGCCCTTCCCCTCCTAGGGAAAGATCGGCCACACGCTCTTTCTGGCCACCCTTACTGGTCTGTCTGTCTCCTGCCTTCACTAGAAACCAGTCTGTCGAATTTGAAAAGGAGTAGGGGACAGAGCACCTTGAATTAGGCTGCTGGCCTCTGTGTGGTAGCAATGCGCTGCGGATCTTCCAGAGCCCCGCATTTCAGTCTTGGCGCGTGCCTTTGTCCATTTGTATAAAGCAAAGAGTGCTGAGTGACAGCTTCAGTTAGCCTGCATGAGCAGATTCTAATAACTCCTCTAGACCACTACCTACAAAAAAAAAAGCCACAGCTACATGTCTGTCTGTCTGTGGCTTATTATTAAGACACCTTCTCTGCTTAAACACTTAAAAGCTATCCAAATGAAATGCCAATTAAGACTGAATTACCCCCTTCTATCAATGAGAGGACTGTGGGCCAGTCAGCTCTTTCTTAGGAGAGGGGGGGGGGTTGGAGAGCAGCTCTTGCAAAGACTCAGTATTTTGAGCTTGAAGCCACACACACACACACACACACACACACACACACACACACACACACACACACACACACACCCTCCAGACGCTAGATATCTTGGTAGAGGGAGCCCAATTGGGGATAAAGGACAGCTCCAAAATTGTTCAAAAGTTGAAAAAAAAATGTTTAACCCAAGAACTGGAGAGAGAGGTGTGAGCTGTCGCCTTCATTACCTCTCTTAGTAAAATCTAACTTGCAAGGTCATAGTTAAAGGTTATTTTAAGTTCTGCTGTTCACATATATGGGTCCACTGTTAAATGGGGTACACTCCCTTCCCCAAACAGTCATTGTTTACAAAAGCACAAAAGAGAAGGGAAAAAAAAAGAGAAGGGTTGGGTTGGGTCGGGTTGGGGGGTAAAAGACATTTACCCAAACGTAAGATCTTGTGGCACCCCTTTATTTACTTGCATCTCCCACTCTAAATTCATGCTCATTTCTATCACTTCTTTTGTGTGATGAAAACTTGAACTGTCCGTCATGGTTATTTAAAAAAAAAGCTGCTAGAAAAGTGTAAAACCACCACTGCCTTTCAAAAAAGGAAAATGAACCTAAATTTCGATGTAAATATGGAGAGATGAGTATAGCTTCCAGTTGGGCAAAGGCAGATTTCCCCATCTGGGGAAAACTGATTCCTATGGTTGCTTGTTGTGGGGGGAAAGCAGCTTTAGGTATCTAGAGAATGGAACCAATAGGAGAGAACACTTACTCGTGTAAAAAAGAAGGGGGGGAAGCTTTAATTAATATATAGTTGTATCTCTAATATAGCCCTGGTGTTGCTAGCTCTATCTCTGTCTTCACAGTGAACTGTGTACAAATCCTCTTGGAAGAAATGAGTTCCCACCTCAGTCGGTACAGAAAAGCATGATAAAGGTTGGGGGAAAATGGATAAAAATGTTGAAAGAACCTCCAGTTCCTTATTAGGCGAAGATACAATATTTATTCCTTGTCTCCTGGGATAAATCTCTTCTAGCTATTGTCCTCCGAGTTCTCAGTGCTGATGCTTAATTTTCAAAACTTCTATATTACCAAGGGACCTACGACATCAGCGAAAGAAATACTCAGCAAGTACAAAATCTGTTCCAGGGAGCTGCTTTTGTGCAGAGGGAAAATTTTGTTCCTACAGGTTTTTAAGTGGGGAATGAGATAAGGAGTTATCTGATCTGGGCAAAACCATTACAATTGAGCTCTCTATCTATAGCACTTTTTTTTTTTGCTTTAAACCTTTTTTTTTTTTTTTTTTTTGGAAAATACAAGAAGTTTGGGATTTTTTTTTTGTTTCCCTCCCGATTCTTTTTTTGGAGGGGGAAATTGCATCGTTAGCTTTTGGAGGAATCCAACATGTCAGCTACCTTTCCGGGACTAGTCCACGATGCTGAGGTATTATTACTTTTTTTTTGGAGTGCGCGCGCGTGTGTGAGTGTCTGTGTGTGTGTCTGTGTCTGTCTGTGTGTGTGTGTCTGTGTGTGTGGCGGTGGTGGCGGCGGCGGCGGCGGCGGGCGGTGGCAGCGTCTCTAATCTATATTGGACCGTTACGTTTAATTATAATCTGGCTTTCAGGGAGAAGTTAAGGCAGGGAAGGGGAGGAAGTTGTCCTGAAATCTGTCGCCCAGCAAGGGCGACTCTCCGACAGCCACGTTAGGACACTTCTTTTGCCATCATGAGGAAGAAAATAGAACCGTGGTAATGGGGCTGGGGAGGGGGAGAGGAAGCGATAAAGACAGGAAAGGCAGAGAAAGGGGGCTGCTGCTGCTGGGGGGGGCGGTAGGTGGACAAGGGGGGGTGGGGAAACGCACCCCCTTTTGGAATGGGCTTTTTACACGTGTATAAGGAAGCCGGGTCGATCTGCCTCTTCCTCCCCCCCAGACGGCAAAGCCAACGATCTGGCGGAGGCCGGGGTTCTGGTTTCGCAAAGACCATGCACACGCGCGCCCGTGGACGCACTCTGGGCGCCTGGGGCCCTCTCCGCCCGCCTCGGCGTGGTCACGCGTGGGGAGGGGGTTTCCGTGGTCGGGAGCCCTGCCGGGCGCGCGGGGCTGGACCGCGTGGACGACTCCTGGGTTGCTCTGCTTCGCGGTGGCACCCGATGCCCGGCTCCCCGCACGACTGGGGCAGGGAGCTGTGTGTGTGTGTGTGTGTGTGTGTGTGTGTGTGTGCGTGTGCGCGCGCGTGTGCGTGTGTGTGCGCGCGTGTGTGTGATGTCGCCTGCACCTATATAGGGTGAGGGACTTTTTTTTTCTCCCCCGCGCTCGGCTCGCTCCTGCGGGGAGGACCGGGCCGCGCCCCGCTGCGCGCCTGGCGGGGCCTGGCGGAAGCTGGCTGGGACCGCGCTCAGCCCCGGTGGCGGGGTGCGCGCGGGGCGGGGAGGGGGCGACATACCCAAAGACCAAAAGACCCCCCCAAAAAGAGCCCCGACACAATCCCCAAACACGCGCGCCCCGCTCCGGGAGAGGGGCGCCCCAAAATCCACACTATGACAAACCTCAAGTTTTTCTGCTCTGCCTTTTCCCCCTCTACCCTGCAGATACGTCACGACGGATCAAACGGCTACCGTCTGATGCAGCTCGGCTGTCTGGAATCCGTCGCCAACTCCACCGTCGCCTACTCCTCCTCCTCTCCGCTCACCTACTCCACCACCGGCACCGAGTTCGCGGCCCCCTACTTCTCCACCAACCACCAGTACACCCCGCTGCACCACCAGTCCTTCCACTACGAGTTCCAGCACAGCCACCCGGCCGTCACCCCCGACGCCTACTCCCTCAACCCGCTGCACCCCTCCCAGCAGTACTACCAGCAGCTCCACCACGGGGAGCCCGCCGACTTCATCAACCTGCACAATGCCCGCGCCCTCAAGTCCTCCTGCCTGGACGAGCAGCAGCGGCGCGAGCTGGGCTGCCTGGACGCGTACCGCCGCCACGACCTGTCCCTCATGAGCCACGGCTCCCAGTATGGAATGCACCCCGACCACCAGAGACTCGTGCCCGGGCCTAGCCTGGGCCTGGCCGCCGCGGGGGCCGACGACCTGCAGGTAAATAGGCAGCCAGGACCTTCCCTGCGCCCGCCCTCCCTCCTCCCTCCCCTCCCCGCCGGCCTCTCTCCCCCCTGGACCGCGCTCTCCCTCTCTCTCCCTCTCCCTCTCTCTCCCTCTCTCTCTCTCTCTCTCTCTCTC